TCTGTCGAGAAGCCGTCATTGCCTGGTGATTTGTTCCATTTCATTTCCTTTACTGCCTGATAGCATTCTGCCAATGTTATCTTGCCTTCACAATACTCTTTATTTTCTTTACTTAATTTGGGTAATTCATTTAAGAACATATTTTCAATATCCTCTGTAATTTCACCATTTTTACATGCATATAAATTCTCGTAAAACTCCCTGATAATCTTCAAAATCCCTTTGCCATCCCTCACAGTTTCCTTATTTTCATTATATATCTCCTTAATCACACTTTTCCTTTTATTTGACTTTAGTAATTGTTCAAAAAACGTTGAATTTTTTTCTCCTTCTTCAGACCATTCTGTCCTTGAACGGACTTTTAACCCTTGACGTGAATAGTCGAAAAGCTTCTCTAATTCCATTTTTTTCATGTCAATTTCATCCTGAATACTTTTATGACAATCAATATTGATCGTCAATCGATATTCCAGGTCTTTAATTTCTTTTTCCAATTTTGCAATGTGGACTCTTCTGAGTTTTGCTCTTTCACGGGAGAATTTCATTATATATTCTCTTAATTTCATTTTCATAAAATCCCAAAATTTAATTTTGCTCGTTATTTGATTCCGCCAAGTTTCCTCTATTTCAGAAATCTTCTTTTTTACCCCATCTACAAAATCTTTTTCATTACATAGACTACTATTAAACTTCCAATAGGATTTCCCATAAACAAAACTATCGACTAAATTGTTAAATTCTATTCTAACTCCAGCATGGTCAGGTGTAATAGAAGGCAAAATTTCAGACTTTCTTATCAACTTGTCTACTTTCGAAGAAATGAAGATATAATCCAATCTACTCTGAACTAATGGCTGCTTCTGTCTGAAAGTGAATTCTTTCTGATTAGGATGACGCTTACGCCACACATCAATTAAATCAAGCTTATCAAGAAAGTCTAATAATGAGTCCCTATATTTGCTTTTCGAAATATTACTTGCACCCATGTAATCCAAATTATGATTCATAATAACATTGAAGTCTCCTCCAATTATCAAGGAATATTCTTGACTAAATACAGAACAAATTATTTTATTTAGATCAGACAGAAAATCACATTGGGCGTTTTCTTTATTCCTTGTGGGAAAGTACACGCTTCCTAATATTAGCTTTTCACCTTGACATTTGCCTTTAATGATGACGTATCTTCCCCCTTCGTCAATTAAGGTTTTTTCCACCACAAAAGTAATACCTGGTTTAAACATTACAATAACCCCCCTACTGTGGTTACTCCCGTGGCTAAAAAACATTGAGCCTTCCCAATCACCCTTCCAACTGTATTCAATGTCTTCTGTGCTAAAGGTTTCCTGCAAGAATATCATATTTGCCGACATTTTGCACCACTGAAAAATCTTCTTTCTTTTAACTCTATCTCTCAGTCCTCTGACATTAATTGAGAGTAATTTTAAATTAACCGACATCAAGAACTATGAATCTATATCTGTAACAAAAAACCTTTAGAAATGTACATAGTGGTGACAGTTTCACAGTAGATGGGAAGCTTGATGCATTTCCAACTCTAGGAAAAACAAACGCTTTCAAGTTAGATTGCAAATTAAACAAGTACAGGCAGACATCGGAACCGGAAAACATACCACACATACCATCACCCCACCCTTCAACACTATCAACCACATTCATACACATAAGCATAATATATGCTGGCATGTTCGAAACCCCTCCCATCACTTATTCTAAATCATGGCGTGGCAGCCTTTTACACAAAGTATTAATACAGTCTTCTTACTGTGACAAAAAAAAAAAAAAAAAAAAAAACCAACACCGAAAATAAAACAGTAACTCCAGACGATATAACTTGACCTCATAATTAACGGATTCAGATAATGTGTAACTAATGATACTTTAGCCCCAGGCTCAAACGGCTATATATAATATTTTAAAAGAAAAAAAACGTAATAAACGAACGTAATAGATAAACCCCGTGCATACTTTAAGCTTCAACAGCTTGTACCCCACCAAATGGCTTTTGGTACCATTATAAACTTTACAGTATATAAGGAGTTTCTTTTTTAAGAAAACGAATTAATTAACTTTTGAACTATTCCTCTTCTTTTTTTTTCTTTTCCTTTCACTGTTAACGACCGGCTTAAGGTAACCGTAAAAGGGCATTATTTATTTTCCCCTTTTAATTTCTCTCAAAACAGAGTCTAGATATAAAATTTATAGTTGATTTAAAGACCTCGCTGGTGTCTAAAACTGGCTGGGGACGAGACTTTTCTAAATAAAAGAACAACGTCCCGCCCACCTGCCGTCATAGACAGTGACCACAAGCAGCCGGTGACGAGATCTAATTATTGCTTCACAAGGCACTAACGTTAATCCTCCTGCTAAGATTGTAAGATTACATGGATATTTACTATTAAAGGGGGGAGCAGAAACAAATCGACAATTATGTTGTATATTTCAGATGCCATTTATCTCGATCAACTGAAATGTCTAGGACCAGCTGGAGACGAGACTTGTCTCAAAACACGTCCCGCCCTCCTGCTGCCGCAAAGACCATTCAGCCAATCAGCATGTCCGGCGTTGGTGACCACGAGAAGCCGGTGACGAAAAGAAACAAAAGAAACACTTTCGCCCTCCAGCTCTCGCGGACCAATCATAGCTGAGGAAGCCTCTCACGTGTTCATGGCTATTGATTAGTTGGATTACTTTGCTCACCGAATGGAAAAGGAAAGAGAAATGCGATGTACATGTATGTATTAAGTTACACACACAGACACACACACATGCACACCAAACCACTCCCCCTCTCCATTTGTAAATATCTTTAAAAGGAACCCGTTCTATAATTTGCGTTGTACAGTGTTCACATTCCTCTAATGACACATTTTAAAGATTAAGTAACAAGCTAGACATCTCGTGGAATGCAATAAGGCAAACCTATGCCTACATTAGTACAAATTGGCGGGTACTATTTTCTCTTTACATTCATGAGTTTTGACTGGTGCTTTAAATTGCATGGTACTTCCAACCAGATTATATCTCATGGAATGTCACAAGGCTTACATTCTTGAGTCTTAAAATCTATACCTCAAAGTACGATATGGCGGGGAATTTTTTTTTCTTCACTTTACATTCCTGAATTTTCGACGTTTGGAGAATTCGTTAATGCAAAAACAAAAGTTCTCACAACAATTCTTTTCCACAATACACATATCAAGGGATTGAACTTTAATATAATTACAGTTTTTGTAATGCATATTTCCAGCTGGAGTAAATACATCTCTAAACCCACCAAGGTTGCATAGATTTCCACTCAATGATAGAGACTAAGGGGGAGTAATAACATCTTCCTTCCGTTAACCCTGACTTTCATTCTCAGATCCATACCTCAATTGTTGATGAGGCATTCCTATTCACCCATAGCTTTAAAATGTATACGCAGTTCAAAAGAGAAATTTTCATCTTAAGTTCAGATCTTCTTTTCATTATCTGTTACATAATCCATTATAATTACCATTTTCTTTCAACGTTCAATGAACACACACTATCACTCGATGAATTGCCAATTTATACCGCCCTCTTCGGACCCGGGCATGCATGAAAATTATTGCAGTCGTCATGAGAAAAAAAAATATCAGCATAAATAAATGAAACTAAAGATCAAAAAATGTTAAAAGCAAACGAATATAGATATATGAAAATCAGGTCTACAAGTATATAGTTACCCCAAATAATACGAGAAGCAAACCGAACCAAAATAAAACATTGAACCAAAAATAAAGGACAAAAGACTCGGTGTAATTGTTTATCGAATGAATTATAATATATAAACTTATAAGCCTATCACCTTAGATACCACACATAGAAAATTTAGATTCTGTCCGTCTTGTTATCCCCCCTTTGAATCAGTAAACGACCAATTTAGGGGTCTGGTCGTGGGGGCACTGAGGGGGGGGGGAGGGAGGGGGAGAGCTAAATCTTAATTTTCGCTTTAAAAAACGAGGATTTTTTAAAACTAAAATGCTGTTTGTCCTGACAGACTTTCTCAACGGGAAGGGGGTCTAGCCCCATAATTCTCTTTTTAAAAGAAATTTAATTTGTTGACAAGTACATTGCCCAACTGGCACCCTCGAGATTCGAATTAACGTAATATAAGGGTTTTGGTGTTTGGTATGGTATTTATTGACTCATGCATCGCAGTTACATAATTATACTGAATTGCACATGGATATTGCATTTTAAAAACAAGTGTACAATTTAAAACAGTATCATTTACATGATTATAAGTAAACGTATATTATTATGTAACATGTTTATCCTTAATTTTGTTCCAAATTTAAAAAAAAGCAAAAATACGAACAATAAGGAAATGGGGAATATGGACCTAAACAGAAATTGAAAGAGAGAAGGGAAAGATGTAGAGAAAAGAATTTTAAAAGGGTGAGAGAGGGAGAGGGGAGGATAGAGGGAAGGGAGTGACAAAAAGAGAAAGAGAGGTAATAAGAGACCGAGAGATATAGTGAAGAAAAGGAAAGAGCAGGAAAGAGCAGGAAAGATAGAGAGATAGAGAAAGAGAGAAAGAAAGAGACAGAGAGAGTGGAAAGAGAGAGAGAGAGAGAGAGAGAAAGAGGGGGAAAAGAGAGAGAGAGAGAGAGAGAGAGAGAAGGGGGGGGGGGGGTAAAGAAGGGGGAAGAGAGAAGGGGGATCTTGCCAATAATTAAAAATTACATACAAATTACATCAAAAAGTTAAAAGTATACCATTGCAACACTACGAATAGTATTAATCAGATGAACAAAAATCGCATTATGAAAATTGTATGGCGCACCTTAAATCTTTTGGGAGTTATATAAAATTGCATCTATGAGAATTATTTTGAAAAACGCAGATGGTATAGTAGAAACAATATTTGTATTTCCCTCCCCTGGATCCGCTAATAAGGAATAGATACATACTTTTTTTTTTTTGGGGGGGGGGGTGAGGGTTCCAGATCGGATAATGATTGAATTTATTAAAGTTGAATTCGAGAGGAAGAAGTGCAACCTAGGTTAGCATTCTCAATTTTTAGCACTGGCACTGCATGCTCGCCGCTCCATACGGGTATGTTAGCACATACTCATTTTGTACACCGATGAGTCATCACGATCACTGCTCAGCAAAATATCTGTCAGCTGCAGGCGAACTATGCATGCAGCGAGCAGATTTCTCACATTGAACGTACAGTTTATCCCACGAGCGGTAGCAGACGAGATTTCGGACCGACAAGAGACCAAAGCAAGGTAACAATTCAGCCACCGAATATCTTTTCTCTTCCTGCCGAGAAATGAAACAACGTATCAACGAATAAAACACGGATTTCTAAAATATAAGGTGAACATTTTACCCAGCAAACTCTAGCCTCTTCGTTTGGGCGGACGAATGAATATGGCATCCAGAACCGAGCGAGGTTCTGCATCGGAAGGCCAGACCAGCGGCCCCGGTGAAGTGAATGCAGCGGCCGCAGCTGGGGATGCGGACTGGAAAGAAAGATGCCGCACCCTCGAAGGTCAACTTGAAAAATTTCGATTGCAGGCCACAAAAATTCGATCTGTCCTGGGTGAAAAGGTAAGCTTTCAATCCTCCTTTCATGTTTTCTATAATTCAATTTTGTAGGACAGAAAGCTCCACATCTACTCGTACTCGTCTAGATTGAATATTTTCATTACCACCGTGCAATACAAAATTGTCAGCACCATCATCTATTCTGCAATGAATTTCCATCTGTTTATGAATAGAATCATAACTATAATGATAACCATCACAACGCTGTCTCATTTTTATTATCATTCATCATTCATCACCATCATCATATCATCATCCATCATCATCATCACCACCATACCATCAACATCACCACCATCATCATCACCCTCACCCTCATTACTATCACAATATCACCAATACCTTCATGATCACCATCACTAATACCACCACCTTCATCACAGCCATCATCATCACCGTCACCACCACCACCATCCCATTTCACCACCACTATCACCACCTCCACCACCACTATCAGTATCACCACCACTACCACCAAAATTAGCACCATCTCCATCTTTACCACCCCCACCAGCAACAACACTACCATCAACAGTAGGCCTACCATCTAACTCCATAAGTACCATTCTTACCACTACTACCAATACTTCACCTTTACCACAACATGACCACTACCATTATCATCATAATTATCATGATATTAAGGATGATGATGATGATTATCATCATACTAATCATCATGATGATACTATGTCCAACTATGCACCATTTTTCATAAAAAACAATACTATTACAATTATGATTGTTAAATTGTTTAAAGTGGTAAGTAATTGCTAACTAACAAGAGATTTATATAATATTGGATAGCTTTGAGTGTGATACAAGAATATATTGTCATAGCGAGAGCAATATATTCTTGTATTACGTGAAAACAAAGCCATACAATATTATTATTATTATCTATATCAGGCTGACTAGTCAAATAAAACAATTTAACTGACCTCTGTAAATATGGATTTGTTTTTGTGTGATATCAATATCGATAGTTGAAGTTCCTGGATGACTGAGCAATACAAAAACAATTGGTCAGTCATCTGGGTACTGCGCTAAAGATATTAAATACACTGATTTATTGTACCACTTGGAAGCCTTTATATAGATAATAATGTTTCTCATTCATAATCCTATTAAGTAGGAATGTGGATTATTGGCACTTCAATATTGCAAAGAATGTATGCTAACTTTCTTGATCTTCATTTGTAATAAACAATATGTGTGCTTCTTATATTTAGGGGAAACATTCAACATTTAATACATAAGTGAACAGGGGACATAATTTGTAGTTATCCATATAATGGCGGATATAATTTATTTAGGCAGTTACAACATACCATACTGGCTGTCATCACAAATAAGCTGATTCATTAAAGAATTGTCTATGAACTTCATGAACTTGGCAATAATCCAAACTGAAATGAAATAAAATCACCCTATTTTTTCCTTTTTACTTGGGGAAGGAGGATTAATTACCAGCCAGGTTTAACTAAATACAATATTTCTATTCATTTTATCAGTCATGTGTACTCGGTTGGAATTGAGGCACAATGGTTCTTTATCATGCACGGTTGCTTGTAATGAGCTGATATTTTGGTGGTTTCTTTTACAGAAATGTTAAGAATTTATATAATTTGTTAAAGGGACTTTGATATGATCATGAAATTTATTAAATTTCAAGTATTTTTTATTAAGAATATGATTTAAAAATTTTCCTTAAAATTGTTCAACTAAATACAAATAAGGGAACATTGGAAAATTGTATTTGTACAAAAATACAACTACATGTACCTGTAAAAACCATCTAAGATATAATTAATTAACAAGAGTAGATATTTTAAGTTATTTTATTCCACTAAACATCTGTTTAATCTTGCTTCCCATGTCAGTTCGGAATGACTTTGTCAACCTGTATTTATCAAAAGTTAAATGATCGTTTGAGAGAATCTATATGAGGATTAACAAGGATAAAGAGTTATTAAAAGCAAGGAAATGTTTCAAAATGACAATATTTCCTGTGAGAAAACCCAAGAGTAAAGAAATTTAAATACAGAGAGAGAGAGAGAGAGAGAGAGAGAGAGAGAGGGAGAGAGAGAGGGAGAGAGAGAGGGAGAGAAAATGGAACCATAGATGAAAACCATAAAGTGCATGAATTAGATTTGGTGTCCTCAAAGATGTTTATACTATGTGCAAGTTTAAATGATTGCAATACAACATGATGTAATTGAAATGACCAGGGAAAGATTGCATTGGAGTGAGTGAGGATGAAATCTTGAGACGAAGGTGAAGAAATGATGTCATGGGTTAGTAATGAGGCCAAGGCATGTTATGATGAGTGTAGAGCCGGCTACGGGCCACTCTCTGTCAACATCTCACTGACCTTCTCAAGCATTCCTCATCTTGGCCGTCAAGGAGGAGTGGAGGAGAGGAGAAAGATTGCATCTGTAGCCTTCATTCCTGACTCTTCCTCATGATACATTGAAAACATCATTGTTTGTGTTTGCTGAGCAATGGCATTGAGTTGCCAATTTGAGAACTCGTGAATGCCTCCCGTTTAATCCATTGAGTTTGATTTGATAATCATGGAATTTCTATTCCATAGGTTTTAGCTTGACATGTCTCAGGCTTAGTATTTAACTAGTTAATAAGACTGATTTGAGGCAACTTTTAGTTGAGATTGTTTCAAAGCTTACACTTTGAAATACTACTCTTCAATATTTTTTGGAAAAAAATTGTGTCTAAAAAAATGAGCATCTTTTCACTCACATCAAATAATGTCATGTCTAATTTATGAATAAACTTTTTTTTGAGAGGGGAAGTATATATTTCTGAAAATTTTGTATAGTGATGGAACAACATTCCCCTTCATTTAGGTCAGCTAAAGATTTGATTCAAATTGCTTTAGATTGTCATCTCCAGATTTAGGGGAACATATTTAGTCTGTCATGCGCTAAAATGAAATAATAGTAATTACATTTTCATTATTTTCATTAATCGTAATTTGGTCTCACATATGAGGAAATACCATTAATTTGGACACAAGTTTTCACCCATTTTCCTTGTCAAATTTGATTTTAGAGCTGTTTATTATTGGTAACAGGAAGCAGGAAATTGGTAATTGCCCAAATGGTGTTCCCAGGTCTTTGTAATAAGATAAGGGTGAAGTATGGTACCTTTTGTTTCATTGCTTTACAAAAGGTGTAAGAAATTTGTTTAGACAGGAATTGTTATTACCCTACAGCCAAACAATAATCCTTTATTACAATACAAAAGCAGAAATACAAATATTTAGACTGGACACTAATAGCCCACTCCTCTACCTGCCAAATAACAGGCAGCATCTAAGCTATTTTAATATTCTAATTTCTAAACCAAGACGGAATAAGCTGATGGAAATATTGAATAACAAGCTCAATTAAATGTTATCGTCTTCATGTAATTTTATGATATTCTATTTGAATATTTATATAAATTGAGGCTGTATTAAAGTTGTTTTGTGTCAATTCAATGGACTGTATTGTGATTTTGTCCATAATAGTCATCATTGAGGTGTGAAGAATTAGTAGTACCATCAGTAGCATGAATGTAAACAGATAAAGGGTGTTTTTCATTGTGACAAGTACCCTAAATTATAGTCAGCTGATAAGCTGATTTACCCTCCTTCCCCCTCCCCCTCCCCTATTCATGAATTATATAAATGTTTGATTATATATTGTGGTGTCCAGACATTTTTTAGTTCCTAATCCCTTCTTATCCTCTTTTATTCTTCTTTGGCTTCACTGATGCAAGACAGTCAATATTTGATTGTCTGGTCAAGTGCTGGTACTCCTAAATGGCCATACTCTTTAAGTGGGTTTGGTCCATTCATCCTTTCAACGCAATCTATCTGCTGTAATAATGAATAGAGGCAGTTGCCAAGCGTGTGTCACCATGTATGTGATGCGGGCTCTCCATTGTGAGGCCATCTGCCCCTTACAATAGTTACCCATCGTCATACTATTACTGTGAACATCAATTACCGTGGAAAGGGGATCCCCTTTGTTGTTAACTCCATCCTCCGCAGAGTGCATTGTCTCCTGCGTTGTCGCCATATTGTACTCGGGGACGGGAGGAAATTGCTGATGCTTTCCGCTGCACACACACACATACAGGCCCACCCTCCTCTCATGGTTGGCGGAGGTTGAGTGGCAGACGTTTGTAGCATAATTTAGTTATATTGTGAGGTCATATGGCGGACACAATGTCCTATGTGTATTATGCAGTGCTAGCTTCTGAGCTTGGAATACACATCAGAAACATTGTAGGCCTATAGTCTGCAAACTTGAATGAAATAGCTCATCATTTTTATCAAAACATTAATTATTGTTTTTAAATAATGAGATGGTAGTTCTATCCTTCTCATTTTAAATAAAAATTCAGGCCTACCTTTCTTTGTATACATACAATTTTAATGTTTTCTTTATACTATTGTGTTTTTTTGCTGCTGACAATATGGATATGAAAGATGCAGAAAATGTGCAACTGGCATTTGGTATGAAGGTATTATTCTAGTCTTCATAATTAGGATTATGAAGCTGAAACCTGACAATTTTCAAGAAAATGAATATAGGGCCCTTATGAGTTTTGTAGCTAAGCTATCACATCTTGATGATTTACCTACTATACATTTTGGTTTTGGTGTTACAAACCAATTTTATTTTGAGGGAAATTCGATAAGACCTACAATAACTGTTTTTATTATTGTCAAATTTGCATAGAACCAAGATTGCATTCTTGTGAATCAATTTAATCGATATATGCATGTTTTGCTTTTGTGTCTAATCTTTTGCCCATGGGAACTGAGTGTTCCCTGTATTAAGCCTATGGCAATGAGAGAAGTAAATATTCAGTGGGTTAACAAACCAAGTATATTTAGAGAGAAATTTTATAAACCAAAACAATTTTTTTTCATGGGCATAAGACAAGGAATGAACAGTGCATTATCATAAATCAATATACAGGTACCTAAT